GTTTGTTTTAATAGACAATGTTTATAAACAGGAACTGGACTAGTGTTGATTTATGGGCGGTCTTAGTTGATATGTACAGGTTTGATGATATTGGAAGGTTTATTCTGAAAATAGTGTGCCACAACTCATCACGAAATCTTGGACCCGCCCCTGAAGTGATATTTTGTGTTAAATGTTCATGTTGATATTTTAAACTATTCAGTAAACGTCATATCAGCACCACCAGTACTACAAAACAAAACCACTTCAGAATTCAGACTTTTCATAAAAAGAGGGAAACGAATATCGTATATGGTACCACGGACCTAGATTATCTAAGTCTCAGTGATGGCACACATACATGTTTACCTTAATACCGTTAAACCTGTCGAAATTTACTATAATCCTTTCAACAACATCTTTTCCTTCAAAATTGGGTACAAAATGAAACGTGCCAGTATTGTATTGTTTGTATTGTTTATTCAACTTGAAGCCTTATGGCTCATAAGCATACACAGCAACGAATAATTGATACACCAAATAATTATGAATTTCAATTCAATTTATTACCAAATGCACATTGCATATAGGCGTACAGAAATATACATATAGATAAATACTTTACAAATATCTTGTACAATGGCGGAGAACATATGCAATAGATTCAATTCCATACATAATAATTACAAATTCATGAAACAGTCATAAGTGGGGGAAAACTTTAAGGTTTACCTAAGGTAACTTAGCGGACTCTTATGAAGCATAATTTAGTTGTTTATAAAATTATACAAATAAAGCCTTAATCTAACCAAATTTCTAGGAAATAACAAAACTTCAAAGTCAATCATACAAACTCAACATGAAGGTAGAGATTATAACTTATTGTGAAGTAAAAGACATCATGAATCAGTGGCGGATCCAGAGGGGTTTTTTGGGCTTCAGGAACCCCACCCCTAGAATTTTCTTTAAAAATAATGTATTTTCACCATTTTCCTCAATTTTACCCCACATGGAAACCCCCCCAGGAATTTTGTACAAGATAAGTTATTCTCGGAAGATGGACAGCTCTTGTATAATTACCTTACCTAAGTGTACTGTGGCTATCGGAAACAGATGAGGTGACAACATTTTCGTAGCATAATATCAACCGGGGCTCAACAAAGAATATGGAAATTACAAAACAAAAAACAGGCATACAATTTGTATACAGTGGTGTAGTCAGGGGATGGACAAAACAATACGTGTAAACCTGGAAATAAACAAGTAATCATTTGTTATCAACATAATGAGTTAACCAGACATTACCAAAACCAGGAGACAATAATAATTTCCGAACTTGACAACGCCAATTACAGTTTCTGTGATTACATTCATCCATATCTTCATAAACTGACTTAAGAACACAATTGTCGCATTTAGTTAGTTTCAACCAATATTTAATTAGTACACCATACTACCTGTGTTAGTTGGGGATCGGTTATTATTGCCCTTTGGCCATGACATTCACAGGTAACACTTCTGGGTAATTAGTTCACCTGATAATTCACAGGTAGGTATGAAAATGCCCTTTGGCTATGGAATTAATTAGTGTTATCTAAGTCCGTGTTTGTAATAACATTTTTTTTAACATTGAAACTAAAATATACGTATTTGATATAAATGTTTCAAGTGTATTAAACCCGGCCACGTTTGTGAAGTATAGGGATTCAATTAATGGGAAATGCTCTAACTTTTTTGAGAACAATGTCGGTTTATTGCAAGGGGAAATGTTGTCACCATTACTGTTTTCACTTTTTTATCAATGATTTTGAAATGTCCTTTATTGAAAACGGTGCAACATATTACGACTTCGGTGAGTTAAGTTTTTTTCTGTTAATGTACACAGATGAGTTGGTTTTCGGAATCTGTACAGGGCCTGAAGACTCTTCTTGACAGCCTTTTTGAATACTCTACAAAAAGGAATTTAACTGGAAATGCGGAAAAACAAAAATTGTAGTTTTTAGAAACGCTGGAAGATTACATAATGATGAAAAATGGTATAACAAAGGAAGTAAAGTCAAATGTGTGGATCAATTTCCTTACCTAGGCGTTATTCTAAAATACAATTATAAAATCACTTCTATCCAAATACAATTAGCTACCCAAGGACGAGAAGCTATGTTTGCGTTATTTTCAAAGTGTTCATCATTAAACTTAAATGTAAAAACTATGCTACATCTTTTCGATACATATGTAAGCAGTATCCTTTTTTATGCAAGTGAAATTTGGTGTATGCACAAAGCTCCAGAGATCGAACGCGTACATTTACATTTTTGTAAGAAATTACTAAAAGTGAAGAAATCGGCCAATAGCAATATGGTATATCTTGAATTGGGACGATCACCTCTAGTTTGTATGAGAAAAATTAGAATGATGAAATATTGGTTGAAGATCTTAAAATCTTAAAATTGTATCATATCTACTTCCTATAGATTTTTATTACAATGTTGTAGTAAAAATGATTTCAACTGGGCTAAAGCAGTAAGAGATGAATTAAATAATCTAGGTCTTAGTGATGTTTGGTTAAATCCATGTATTTCTCAGCAAAATGTGTTATTACCATTGATAAAACAAAGAATTTTTGATCAAGGCATACAATCCCTAAGGGCCTCAGTGGAAAACTCTCCAAAATGTTTATTGTATAAAAATATCATAGGTTTTGGAGAATCATTACAATTTTACCTCACAAAATATATACCATTGAAATATCGCATTTGTTTAACTCGAATCTGTCCATCTACACATTCTTTGGCTGTAGAAGTTGGAAGGTATAATAATATACCTAGAGAACGTAGATATTGTAAACAGTGTAACTCCCCCTCTGAAGTAGAGGACGAATTTCATTTTTTATTAGTCTGTTATAAATTCCAAAATCTCAGATCACGTTTTATCAAAAGATATTATTGGAAAAAAACATCTGTGTTTAAAGTCGTTCAGTTATTGAGTGTCCATATTATTAAAGAATTGTGTATACTAGGAAAATTCATCTATGAGGCAAACAAATTAAGGGTATTATAATGGAATATGATTGTCTTCATTCTCTGTACATTGTCCATGATTTGCGTAAAATATGTATTGTATACTGATGGGCCAATGGCCTAAAGTTCGAATAAAACTTGAAACTTGATTCCATGCTGCCCCTGACGTAGAGGAAGTGCACAAATATTTTTGTAAGCGCTTACTTAATGTTAGAAGGTGTACTCCAAACAATATGTTGTACTCTGAACTTGGTAAATTACCATTTTGTATAATACGGAAAATAAGAATAATTAAGTATTGGTTGAAATTACTTGAAACAGAGAACTGTATTTTGAAAGCCTTGTATAATGATATGTTGCCTGGAGTAAATACAAAGGCCAACTGGCTTAATAATGTTAAGTCAAAGTAAATGTCTCTAGGTTTTGGATATGTTTGGTATGATCAGAAAGTTGTATGTAAGAATCAATTTATATTGGACGTTAAACTACGTCTACGTGATGTTTTTATACAAAATATGAACATTTTTTTTTTTAAACTCTGCTAAATGATTTTATATAGATATCTGCCCGAGGTTAATTGTCTTCAGTATTATCTTTGTAAATCTTTTCCTGAATCTTGTATTTTAGCCATTGAGAAATTTAGATTATCTTCACACGATCTTCGTATAGAAAGGGGCAGATATGAGAGAATACCTCGTAATGAAAGACTATGTTTAAAGTGTAATTTAGGCGATATAGAGGACGAATATCACTTTATTCTTGTTTGTCCATTTTACAACGAAGTAAGAACACAATACATTGATAGATATTACAGAATTAGACCGTCTATGTTTGAATTAATTAACTTACTTTCTGTTAGAAATAAGCAGAAATTGAATAATCTTTCCAAATTATTAATTTGTGCTTCACAACTGAGATCAAATGAATAATTACATATATTGTCCAAAAAGCTAAAAGCCAATAAACTAAACAAAACTAAACCTGTAATTGAATCCTATTGTTCTCTTACTGACACCAAATCTCACCTAGCGCACACCCAACATCTCTGTATATAGGAAAATCCCAAATGAGAGACTAAATCTTTTCAATCAACCATACATTACGATGTACAGTAATCCAAACTTTGATCCGTCATGTACGTGTTGATTGCAATGTGTTCCTGGGACAGGGAGTTCTGTTGGGATCCTATTTTCGTAGTCACAAGTGTAATACACACTGTAGTCCTTGCATCGAGATCCCCAGGTAAACTTAATACTGGATGCCCCAGATAAATCTTACACTGGGTACCTCAGGTAAACCTTACACTGGGGTACCCCAGAGCAACCTAACATCGTGTACCCCAGGTAAACCTTACACTGAGTACCTCAGGTAAACCTTACACTGGGTACTCGAGGTAAACGTAACAATGGGTACTCCAGGTAAACCTTACACTGGGTACCTCGGGTAAACCTTACACTGAGTACCTCAGGTAAACCTTACACTGGGTACTCGAGGAAAACGTAACAATGGGTACTCCAGGTAAACCTTACACTGGGTACCTCAGGTAAAGCTTACACTGAGTACCTCAGGTAAACTTAACACTTGGTACCCCAGGTAAACATTACACTGAGTACCTCAGGTAAACCTAACACGGGTACTCGAGGTAAACATAACAACGGGTACTCCAGGTAAACCTTACACTGGGTACCTCAGGAAACCTTACACTGCGGACCTCAGGTAAACTTTACATTGGGTACCCCAGGTAAACATAACAATGGGTAATCCAGGTAAACCTTACACCGCGTTCTCCAGGTAAACCTACCACTGGGTACCTCAAGTAAACCTAACACTGGGTACCTCAGGTAAACCTAACACTGAGTGCCCCAGGTAAATCTTTCACTGGGTACCTCAAGTAAACCTTACACTGGGGTACCCCAGAGCAACCTAACATCGTGTACCCCAGCTAAACCTTACACTGAGTACCTCAGGTAAACCTTACACTGGGTACTCGAGGTAAACGCAACAATGGGTACTCCAGGTAAACCTTACACTGGGTACCTCAGGAAACCTTACACTGCGTACCTCAGGTAAACTTAACATTGGGTACTCCAGGTAAACCTTACACTGGGTACCTCAGGAAACCTTACACTGCGTACCTCAGGTAAACTTAACATTGGGTACCCCAGGTAAACATAACAATGGGTACTCCAGGTAAACCTTACACCGCGTTCTCCAGGTAAACCTAACACTGGGTACCTCAAGTAAACCTAACACTGGGTACCTCAGGTAAACCTTACACTGGTTACCTCAAGTTAACCTAACACGGGGTACCTCAGGTAAACCTTACACTGGGAACCTCAGGTAAACCTAACACGGGGTACCCAAGGTAAACCTTACACGGAGTACCCAAGGTATACCTTACACGGGGTACCCCAGGTTAACTTTACACGGGGTACCCAAGGCAAACCTTACACTGGGTACTCCAGGTAAACCTTACACCGGGTACTCCAGGTAAACCTTACACTAGGTGCCCTACGTAAACCTACACGAGGTACCCCAGATAAACCTTACACTGGGTTGCTCAGGTAAACATAACAATGGGTACACCAGGTAAACCTTACACCGGGTACTCCAGGTAAACCTAACACTGGGTACCTCAGGTAAATCTTACACGGGGTACCTCAGGTAAACCTTACACTGGGTACCTTAGGTAAACATTACACGCGGTACCTAAGGTAAACCTTACACGGAGTACCCAAGGTATACCTTACACCGGGTTCCCCAGGTAAACCTTACACGGGGTACCCCAGGTAAACTTTACACGGGGTACCCAAGGTAAACCTTACACCGGGTACCCCAGGTAAACCTTACACCGGGTACTCCAGGTTAACCTTACACGGGGTACCCAAGGTAAACCTTACACCGGGTACCCCAGGTAAACCTTACACCGGGTACCCCAGGTAAACCTTACACGGGGTACCCAAGGTAAACCTTACACCGGGTACCCAAGGTATACCTTACACCGAGTACTCCAGGTTAACCTTACACTGGGTGCCCTACGTAAACCTTACACGAGGTACCCCAGGTAAACCTTACCCTGGGTTCCTCAGATAAACATGACAATGGGTACTCCAGGTAAATCTTACACCGGGTACCCACAGGTAAACCTTACACGGAGTACCCCAGGTAAACCCTTTCGTTTGTCTGCGCACTGTTTAACTGGTTGATACAAAAAGTAGGCTGTTCGTATCGTAATCGTATATGTCCTATCCTTTCAACTCAAGCAGAAGATGAATTCCACTTTGTTTTTAAATGTAAATTTCCTCCGTCAAGAATTGTTAAAACCTAATTATCGCTGCCAGCCGTACATGTATTAACAATTGAAATTGCAAAGTTCAGAGAATGTTACGGAACTATGTACTTTTGAAACTAGATCACAACAGAGACGTATATTACGTGTATCATACGTCTCTGATCAAACCTCTTGCCTTTGAAATGAGTCAATCATATATACATGACTTTGTAAGTGCATGCTCTGAGCTTGACTTTGTGTGACATTGTATCATGCATAATACATGTGTTGTTATATCAAGAAGCTGTATCGCTAACGATAATAAAGAATTGGATTTGGAAATAACTGTTTTACTTCCCTCAACGACCCCCCCACCCCCCCACCCCCACCCTCAATTATCACAAAAATCACTAGACGCTCTCTTAAAACATTCTAAAGCCTTGTGTTTTTTGGAATAAAGCTTCCAAATTATGTATGCACGAATTGTGATCTTCAGCGGCCATTTATCTTAAGTATTTTAGTATGGCCACGTCTCTGTTGACTGATAAAAGGTAGGCATGTTCATGTACTTATGTATTTATTTTTGAAGATTTTTTTTATTATTGGAATATGTAAATATACTATGTATCCTATTTTGGTGGGAAAAAGATAGATATTTATAAAAAAAGAAAATAGCTATATAAGGCTACTAATAATTACATAATATGCATGCTTTTGGTAGTTTTTTGGTTCAATTCATCATCTATGCGTCTTCTTTTTCTGTTTTGTCGATCTCTTGTCTAACACTTAAAATGAGAATGGCTGATATAGACACAACACTAAAACAGTACACTCTAAGTACCGTCGATACAGACGATGTCTCATGTCGTCCCATGTGGTGATGATGGTGTAAGATCTCCCTCGTGTTATCTCCCTTGATTCTTGCTTTCGTTTGTGGAAGCCGGTTACGCCTAAATTAAAAATCTCCTCGACCTAAAGTCGAAAACGCGAGGGAGCGAAAACACAACGAAGAGGAAGCGAAAACACGACTGTTTGGTTATGCGGAACAACCGGTACGTCCGTTTTTAAATGTAATATTTTCGGGTATAACTCCTGGCTGACATGCAAAAGCGTATGCAGGCCGGGCAAAGCTACATCAAGGCTCGCCTGAAAGCACCATCAGATTTCTGGATCCGATCATACGCAGGTTCCACCGTTTGGACAGCGAAAAACGAAAACGGTCTCTAATAGTGCACCAATAAGGTATCAAAAATAACAAAACTATAGATTTCCAGAATCGGGTTCTAACCCTGGTGGATGCGTACCATTTCCATAAATACTAGAGAGAAATGCCTCTATCATTCATGCATTTAAAAAAACGCCAGAAACACTCTTTGCCGCAGCTATAAAACCGTACAATGATTATTTCTGGTTTGACTGTTAGCACAAATATGGTAGTGATGTCGTTGATGACGGTGATAGTTATGGTAGTAATGTCGTTGATGACGGTGATAGTTATGGTAGTGATGTCGTTGATGACGGTGATAGTTATGGTAGTGATGTCGTTGCTGACGGTGATATTTATGGTAGTGGTGTCGTTGGTGACGGTGATGGTTATGGTAGTGATGTCGTTGATAACGTGATAGTTAGGGTAGTGATGTCGTTGAGGACGGTGATAGTTATGGAAGTGATGTCGTTGATGACGGTGATAGTTATGGTAGTGATGTCGTTGATGACAGTAATAGTTATGGTAGTGGTGTCGTTGGTGACAGTGGTAGTTATGGTAGTGAAGTCGTTGATGACGGTGATGGTTATGGTAGTGATGTCGTTGATAAAGTGATAGTTAGGGTAGTGATGTCGTTGGTGCCGGTGATAGTTATGGTAGTGATGTCGTTGACGACGGTGATAGTTATGGTAGTGATGTCGGTGTTGTCTATGACAGTTATGGTAGTGATGTTGTTGGTGATAGTTATGGTAGGGATATCGTTGATGACGGTGATAGTTATGGTAGTGATTTCGTTGATGACGGTGATAGTTATGGTAGTGATGTCGTTGATGACGATGACAGTTATGGTAGTGATGTTGTTGGTGATAGTTATGGTAGTGATATCGTTGATGACGGTGATAGTTATGGTAGTGATGTCGTTGCTGACGGTGATAGTTATGGTAGTGATGTCGTTGATGACGATGACAGTTATGGTAGTGATGTTGTTGGTGATAGTTATGGTAGTGATATCGTTGATGACGGTGATAATTATGGTAGTGATGTCTTTGATGCCGGTGATAGTTATATTAGTGATGTCGTTGGTGACAGTAATAGTTATGGTAGTGATGTCGTTGGTGACAGTTATAGTTATGGTAGTGGTGTCGTAGGTGACAGTGATAGTTATGGTAGTGATGTCGTTGATGCCGGTGATAGTTATAGTAGTGATGTCGTTGGTGACAGTAATAGTTATGGTAGTGATGTCGTTGATGCCGGTAATAGTTATGGTAGTGATGTCGTTGGTGATAGTAATAATTATGGAAGTGATGTCGTTGATGACAGTAATAATCATGGTAGTGATGTCGTTGATGACAGTAATAGTTATGGTAGTGATGTCGTTGATGCCGGTAATAGTTATGGTAGTGATGTCGTTGGTGATAGTAATAATTATGGAAGTGATGTCGTTGATGACAGTAATAATCATGGTAGTGATGTCGTTGATAACGGTGATAGTTATGGTAGTGATGTCGTTGCTGACGGTGATAGTTATGGTAGTGGTGTCGTTGGTGACGGTGATATTTATGGTAGTGGTGTCGTTGGTGACGGTGATATTTATGGTAGTGGTGTCGTTGGTGACGGTGATAGTTATGGTAGTGATGTCGTTGATGACAGTGATAGATATGGTAGTGATGTCGTTGATGACAGTAATAGTTACGGTTGTGATGTCGTTGATAACGGTGATAGTTATGGTAGTGAAGTCGTTGATGACGGTGATAGTTATGGTAGTGGTGTCGTTGGTGACGGTGATAGTTATGGTAGTGATGTCGTTGATGACAGTGATAGATATGTTAGTGATGTCGTTGGTGACAGTAATAGTTACGGTTGTGATGTCGTTGATGACGGTGATAGTTATGGTTGTGAAGTCGTTGATGATAGTAATAGTTATGGTAGTGATGTCGTTGATGACAGTAATAGTTATGGTAGTGATGTCGTTGGTGACAGTGATAGTTATGGCAGTGATGTCGTTGATGACGGTGATAGTTTTGGCAGTGATGTCGTTGTGACGGGGATAGTTATGGTAGTGATGTCGTTGGTGGCTGTAATAGTTATGGTAGTGGTGTCGTTGATGACAGTTATAATCATGGAAGTGATGTCGTTGGTGACAGTAATAGTTATGGTTGTGATGTCGTTGATGACGGTTATAGTTATGGTAGTGATGTCGTTGGTGCCGGTGATAGTTATGGTAGTAGTTATGGTAGTGGTGTCGTTGGTGACGGGGATATTTATGGTAGTGGTGTCGTTGGTGACGGGGATAGTTATGGGAGTGATGTCGTTGATGACAGTGATAGATATGGTAGTGATGTCGTTGGTGACTGTAATAGTTACGGTTGTGATGTCGTTGATGACGGTGATAGTAATGGTATTGAAGTCGTGGATGACGGTGATAGTTATGGTTGTGAAGTCGGTGATGACAGTAATAGTTATGGTAGTGAAGTCGTTGATGTGGTTGTGAAGTCGTTGATGATAGTAATAGTTGTGGTAGTGATGTCGTTGATGACAGTAATAGTTAGGGTAGTGGTGTCGTTGATGACGGTGATAGTTGATAGTTATGGTAGTGATGTCGTTGGGGACAGTAATAGTTACGGGTGTGATGTCGTTGATGACGGTGATAGTAATGGGAGGGAAGTCGTTGATGACGGTGATAGTTATGATAGCGATGTCGTTGATGACGGTGATAGTTTTGGCAGTGATGTCGTTGTGACGGGGATAGTTATGGTAGTGATGTCGTTGGTGAGGTTGTGATGTCGTTGATGACGGTGATAGTAATGGTAGTGAAGTCATTGATGACGGTGATAGTTATGGTAGTGGTGTCATTGATGACAGTAATATTTATGGTAGTGATGTCGTTGCTGACGGTGATAGTCATGGTAGTGATGTCGTTGGTGACGGTGATAGTTATGGTAGTGCTATTGTTGATGACGGTGATAGTTATGGTCGTGGTGTCGTTGATGACGGTGATAGTTGATAGTTATGGTAGTGATGTCGTTGGTGCCGGTGATAGTTATGGTAGTTATGTCTTTGATGCCGGTGATAGTTATGGAAGTGATGTCGTTGGTTACAGTAATAGTTACGGTTGTGATGTCGTTGATGACTGTGATAGTTATGGTTGTGAAGTCGTTGATGATAGTCATAGTTATGGTAGTGATGTCGTTGGTGCCGGTGATAGTTATGGTAGTAGTTATGGTAGTGGTGTCGTTGGTGACGGTGATAGTTATGGTAGTGATATTGTTGATGACGGTGATAGTTATGGTCGTGGTGTCGTTGATGACGGTGATAGTTGATAGTTATGGTAGTGATGTCGTTGGGTACAGTAATGGTTATGGAAGTGATGTCGTTGGTGACAGTAATAGTTACGGTTGTGATGTCGTTGATAACGGTGATAGTTATGGTAGTGAATTCGTTGATGACAGTGATAGTTATGGTAGTTATGTCGTTGATGCCGGTTATAGTTATGGTAGTGATGTCGTTGGTGCCGGTGATAGTTATGGTAGTAGTTATGGTAGTGGTGTCGTTGGTGACGGGGATATTTATGGTAGTGGTGTCGTTGGTAAGTGATAGTTATGGTAGTGATGTCTTTGATGACGGTGATAGTTATGGTAGTGGTGCCGTTGATGACAGTAATAGTTATGGTAGTGAAGTCGTTGATGTGGTTGTGAAGTCGTTGATGATAGTAATAGTTGTGGTAGTGATGTCGTTGATGACAGTGATAGATATGGTAGTGGTGTCGTTGATGACAGTTATAATCATGGAAGTGATGTCGTTGGTGACAGTAATAGTTACGATTGTGATGTCGTTGATGACGGTGATAGTAATGGTAGTGAAGTCGGTGATGACGGTGATAGTGATGTCGTTGCTGACGGTGATAGTCATGGTAGTGATGTCGTTGGTGACGGTGATAGTTATGGTAGTGATATTGTTGATGAAGGTGATAGTTATGGTAGTGGTGTCGTTGGTGACAGTGATAGTTATGGCAGTGATGTCGTTGATGACGGCGATAGTTATGGTAGTGGTGTCGTTGGTTACAGTAATAGTTACGGTTGTGATGTCGTTGATAACGGTGATAGTTATGGTAGTGGTGTCGATGGTGACGGTGATATTTATGGTAGTGGTGTCGTTGGTAAGTGATAGTTATGGTAGTGATGTCGTTGGGGACAGTAATAGTTATGGTTGTGATGTCGTTGATGACGGTTATAGTTATGGTAGTGATGTCGTTGGTGACGGTGATATTTATGGTAGTTGTGTCGTTGGTGACGGTGATAGTTATGGTAGTGATATTGTTGATGACGGCGATAGTTATGGTAGTGGTGTCGTTGATGACGGTGATAGTTTTGGGAGTGATGTCGTTGATGACGGCGTTAGTTATGGCAGTGATGTCGTTGATGACGGTGATAGTAATGGTATTGAAGTCGTGGATGACGGTGATAGTTATGGTAGTGATTAGTGATGTCGTTGATGACGGTGATAGTAATGGTATTGAAGTCGTGGATGACGGTGATAGTTATGGTAGTGATGGTGTTGATGACGGTGATAGTTATGGTAGTGGTGCCGTTGATGACAGTAATAGTTATGGTAGTGAAGTCGTTGATGACAGTGATAGTTATGGTAGTGATTTCGTTGATGACAGTGATAGTTATGGTAGTTATGTCGTTGATGACAGTGATAGTTATGGTAGTGATTTCGTTGATGACAGTGATAGTTATGGTAGTGATTTCGTTGATGACAGTGATAGTTATGGTAGTTATGTCGTTGATGCCGGTTATAGTTATGGTAGTGATGTCGTTGGTGACAGTGATAGTTATGGCAGTGATGTCGTTGATGACGGTGATAGTTTTGGTAGTGATGTCGTTGATGACGGCGTTAGTTATGGTAGTGATGTCGTTGATGACGGTGATAGTTATGGTAGTGATGACGTTGGTGACAGTGATAGTTATGGTAGTGATGTCGTTGATGACGGCGATAGTTATGGTAGTGATGACGTTGGTGACAGTTATAGTTATGTCATTGAAGTTACCTAAAGAGTCCTATCGATAGTATTTTCCATAACTATACAATAATCATTCAGAACGTGCATTCACTATCTCCCGTCGATTCATATAATATTTTCCTCCCACCAAAGAGTTCAGACACTTAAATGATTTGCAGAGGGACAGGCAGTTAAGAGTTTTACCCTGAGAGTTGAGCCTCCTAAAGTGGGAGGGGGTTATTATTCTCCCAACTCAAATACAAGTGGTATTCATGATTTCTACCCTTTCAGCGTTATCTTCCGTGATTTGCTATTGTTGACGTGACGTCATACAATTGTTATGACAGGGGAACCCCCCTCCCATTATTACCCCATGGTAAGACAGGAAATGCTCTTACCCTGAAGAAAGGTGTGCTTCTGCTTTTCTCGGTGTGATATAGGGTAGTGAGTTCGTAGGTAACAGTGATAGTTATGGTAGTGATGTCTGTATACAGGCTCAACAACTCAATATTTATTATAAACAAATCGTTCACCTCCTTGAGGTGAGATGGGAAATCTCAAGCCTAGTGTATGAAACTTAATAATCTTACCCCTCGGGGTTTGATTCCCCTATCTCAACCCAAGAGGGTGAAATGTTCTATAAATGAAGAGCGTGGCGTCATTTTTAATTGGTACCGCGGCTCCTTTCAAATTATTTTCCTATCCCGTCACGTTACGTCATTGTGTTGACCACTATGACGCGTATCCACACGAGGTCGTTTCCCCTAAAGGTCACTCATAGAATCTTCATCTATAACATGATGATATGACCGAGAAATGTCAACACCAGTGGTTATATTATTCATTTTTTACCTCTTTTGTAGGGAACATGATTCTCTAGTTAATGTTTTTCACAAAGCCCTCGTGAAGCACGCTTAGTATCGGGGACACAAATGATCGTGTTTCTCCCCTCAAACGACAATAAATATTATATTATACCAAAATAGAATAATAACACTACAGTAAACATGTTTAGGTTATACGCCACTGTTGTGGTCTGCATCAGTAACTGGAAACTCAGGGATGATACCTCGTTCTGCTTTTGAAGAGAGGTCCCAAATGAGAACAAGGGGACCATGAGTCCTACAGTATTAAGTTTTGTTGTTGAAATATGAAGTGGAGATAATGATGTCGATCATTGAGTAAAAAATAGTTAAGTATAACTTTGAGTTTAGTTTGTCAGGACACTGAGTTGATCATTCCTAGACCGAGTTTCAGTTAATTTGGACTATTAGAACTTGATTTAAAGTTTTAAATATTTTCCCCCCAAAATGGCAGCCATGGCGGCCGCATTGGATCTTTGATGGACCTGAAAACTTGACTTTAAGTTTGAAATAGTTTTTCAAAATGGCGTCCGTGGCGGCCATATTGGATTTCTGATCGACCCGAAAAATAACAACACTTTGTCAGGACTATGCGTCGAGCATTCCTACCAGGTTTCAGTTAAATCGGCCCAGAAGAACTTGACTTTAAGTTTGATTTTTTTTTTAAATGGCGGCCGTGGCGGCCATATTGGATTTCTGATTGACCCAAAAAAATAACAACACTTTGTCAGGAACATAAGTTGATCATTCCTATCAAGTTTCACTTAAATTGGCCCAGTAGAACTTGACTTTAAGTTTGTAATACAAATGTAGTTTTTCAAAATGGCGGCCGTGGCGGCCATATTGGATTTCTGATCGACCCGAAAAATAACAACACCTGTCAGGGAGTTGTCAGTAACATTCCTATGAAGTATCAATGAAATCCCTTTGAAAGTATTTCAGCTTAAGCTGAAAATGTAAAATAATAACGGACGACGCACGACGGACGATGGACGAAGACGGATAGTGCTCAATAGGTCACTTGAGCTAAAAATATGATCGGGCAAACTCGATCATGCACGAGAGGGAAACACGACAATTTATTTCCAGTCATGTGATCGAATCAATGCAATCAGATACTGTTATATAAAAGAGATATACAATTATATTCGATCGTTTCCATCACGTTTCTTACTACGTGATATCTGTCGCAGGATAGGCAGATAAAGCTCGTTGAAAGAAATAGTATCAAGATGTCACGGGGAAAATAATATTGACATCACAAACAGATGTCGACGGGAGAGGTCATTTAAGCATTGATCTGCTTTCAGTTGGCGAGTTGTCATTCATAATGCATATGAATGCCAACTGAAAGCAGTTCGATACTTGTATTTACCATTTTTCGGAATCGGTTCATCTCATAGAAACTTCAATTACACTTATTATTATTCAGCATTTAGTTCAAATAATGTATATATATCGTGTATGCTTGTTCAGTGAATAGAACATCCATCGTCCAGGGAGGGTCAGTGGTATCCAACATAACAATTATGACGTCAACAATCGGTCCATAGCCTATATGAATGCCAACTGAATTTGGTAGGGTTATATAGTGGCAATCCTAGAATTCCCCTCCCCCTCCTAGAAGATGATGCATTTTTGTTTGTTTGTTTTGATATGCCGGATGATATTCAGAAGATGATTATGTATTTTTTGTTATTAGTACCATGCTTCTATAATGATGATTCCTATTATTACAATGCAGGATATTGTTACGACTATGAATGTTTCTGAGTTTGATTCTGATCATGAAACTGATTTTGATGATGCTTCTGATGATGGTGCTGACGATGCTTCTAATGATGGTCCTTCAGATAATGCTTCTCATGCTTCTCTGCTGCTGCTGCTGACGACGACGACAACGGCTGCAGCACCAGTATTCCCATCCTCTGTCAGTGGGACATACTCTTGTATTTTAAGAACGAGGAGAAGGCTAATATACCTTATGTATTAGATAATGATAGCAAAGAGGAAGGGAGGGTTATGAATGAGAATGGTTATCGTTTGAATCTTCAAAAAAATGTTACAAACTACTGAGAACATTGTATAAGCATACTGATGCATAATTACTTTTTAATTTAATGAAAATATGAGTTTCTAAGTTAATAAAATTACATTTTTATGTTAGCTTTTGATGTATTCTTTTTCAAGAGAGTCTGGTATTTGTTTCTTTGGAATGTATGCTAATTCATGCTAGCCGAACTGATTTTTGACAGTAAAATGAATGGTCCCTGTCACGTGACAATTGATGTTATTCAGCTCGGCCATCTTGGATTATTGGAAGACTCATCCACCCCTTTCCTCGGTATCAGAGGAGCGTCTTGTACGCTTTTAGGGGTCAGAACTGGCCCGTAATTGTTCTACTCCAACTGACATAACACAAACGATTCTCAAAATGTCTGGACAAAGCATCATGGACCGCATGACAGCGGCCAGACATAGCATAGCCGGGCAGGGGCTGGCCAAGGTGGTTTGTAAGGCTACCACGGAGGAGGTTATGGGCCCCAAAAAGAAGCATCTTGACTGTAAGTATATGCTTGAATATTCATGGTAATTGGTAAAAAAGAAATATTCATCAATTATCAGTTAATTTGTATTTTAATTAGGATTTAATTCCATGCCGGAAGAGCACCTGTTCTATCTCGCCGACAGGGTGTTGCAACGTTACCGAGTTGGGCAAGCACTTTGCCTTGGGCCTAAGATATTGCGACATCGGTACCGGTATATGGAATCATGTTGAGATTAAGAGACTACATAATTAACAGACTATGATTTATCCAAAAATGACAGTTGTTCAGTAACCTCTACTGTATATGGCGTATTGTGACTCGTAACATGGTGCGTGACAGCGTGTGTGTAATGTGAAACCGGCGAAAGGGGGAGGGTCTGAAACTTTTTTTGATGGAGACATGTTTTGGGTTTCAATATGTTTTTGTCAGAAGGCGTACTTTATACCCGAGTTATTATAGATGGTAGTAAATGATGAAGCAGGCATTTATTAAAGAATTACGAAAATTAACTTTATTGATTTGAATGTCAATAAATCAAAGCTATTTTATCAAACAGATGTAGAACTATTGAAATAGGGTGCATATGCTTTATAGGGGAGTGGGGTTAGTTGTCATTTTTGAAGTACCATACTTCATACCTTAATATGCCAGGGACAATCGTGGATAGGTCCATTGACCCCTCAAAACTGAAATGGATCCTTCCATGTTCCAATTTTCTTATACTACATAGAAGGGCCCCTCTTAATTTTGATATTGACTAAAAATACCCACTGCTCACAAATTCCAGGACTTTCCTTGATATGCTATCACTGTAAATATGTAATTTTTTTACAATATGCTATTACTGTAAATATGTATTTTTTTTACAATATCAATCTTTGTTAATTGTTGAATATCATTCAAGTGTCCAAGTCATAACCTCCATAAATGTAACACTTTCGCAACAAAATGTAACAGTTTTCCAAACATGCATAGCTATGGATGAATCCTATTCAAAGTTTTATTGATATTTATTAATTTTACTTAAGTTATACTTATTCGTCACAATAAATTAGTATTTCAAACAGAATACAATTAAATGGTACAGTTTAATATACAGTGGCTGGTGATTATTTCTCTGAATATTCTTGTATCAGTCAATTTATGTAAAAGATTTGACATTCACACAAGTGAATTACTAGAAGATCGAAGTATTAAATAATTAATTGGTGTCTTTCCACAAGAAAAAATCTTATAGAAAAAATCAATAAGTTGATACATTTTTATGTATTACTATATTGATTGTTTCGTTATTTAAAAAATAAAAAAATAACACTTTCAAATGGCATCGTTTAAGCTGTTCATTCAGGGAAATCATCAGATCTTAGAAAACAGGAATAGTTTAGCAAATTCACTGGTTGGAAGTGCTCAATTTTAGGGTCCAATTGGTAGTCTTCCTCCTAAATAGGGAGAGTTCAGAGTTGGCAAGTGTGCATTCTTCAGACTGGGTATTACCCATTTCATTGTAAATTGTGACAGTTCACTGCTATGGATATTAATAAACAATCATATGAAACTAAATATATGGGGTAATTGATTGTGCTATATTTGTTAATTGTAAATTTTGATATGGTTATCCAATTGGTTAACCAATGTAAAAATGTTCTAATCTTGAAATTATGATAACTTCTGTGCATTTTGATAACCTATAACATGATCATAGTAACTCATCTTATCACAGTTGTATATATATGAGCCTTATTGACTTAATTATATATTTTTGTGTGTTACATACAGATAAGTGAAACCATTTAGGTTATCAGCTGATCGACTTCATTATTGAGTGTTATTCATGATGGGACAATATTTGCCTATAAATTGGTTTAAAACATCATATATATCCGGTAGTCAAGAGGCCAAAATTTGTTTTGAAAGAAACAATGGTATATTTGGAGGCATATCATCAACTGCTGTGCGTTTTATGATACAAACTTATGGTTTAAAATGTCCAATATCTGATAAACAGATGAACACAGGCACACAGTTCATTAATTGGGATATACAAAAACATCTTGGTTAGGATTTAAGTTGTTGTAGATCTGAAACCAGCTACCAGAACACAAGGGACCACTGGTCTGAATGTCTCTGCCAATCCCACGATGGCAGATCACAATATTGGATTGGTGATCCAAACCATGTTTCATTCATTCCGCTGCACAAAAAGTTGACTGACTAAAAAAGTTTTAGCATTTAGTTCAGTGATGGAGTAAGTACTGTACATGTAATTAGCAAGGGTTACTAGAGTAGAATATGTTGCATAACATGTTTGTGACCTTGACCTTTGATTTCTATGGCCTTGGTTAAATTTTTTGGATAGCTATTGACAAAGTACTGCAGCTATCTGTCAAAAAACTTTATATGCTAATTATAATAATTATCTTCTACGAGTACAGTATGTTGAATGACTTTCTGTAACCTTGACCTTTGACCTTGTTCTTTGTGACCTTGTTATAATTCTTTAGTTTGGGAGCTGAGCATCCATATGCATACATTCAAACTTAAAAAGGTAACTTCGCAAAAATAATATAGTACACATGACTTTTTTCCATCATATTTAACCATCATTGTTGACTTTCCAAAATCTTGTTTTTTGCCCAAAGTCAATTATTCAGTTCATTTCATAGAATGTTTTTTCCACTTCAGCATTTTCCACTATCATTTTGTCAAACATGGGTTATTATAAGTACTTTGTGGACATTTTTGGATAAAAAAAATGAGGATGGTAAGCTTGAATTATATGTATGTACATTTAAGAGTCGTTATTTATAATTAACACTGATCAAAATATGCTGTTCTACCTAATGTTTCATCTTGCAGAAACATGTTGATTCACATGATGAGATTTAATTCAAAATAAAAAAATCTGCATATTTTATTGTACATAATATGTGTGTAATGTTTCAACAGGTAAATGGTTTAGAAGAATATGTAAATGTTTCTCCAACTTTCCTAATTAAGCAAACCTTTTACCAGTCATTGATGTCACTACACAAAAAACTGACCTAGTGGATTTTTAAGTTGACAGTTTTGTTTCCTTGTCATCGTTACTCTAATAAAAAAAGATGTATTAGTGAGTATTGTACAGCAAATGCCAAATTTAATAATGGTACTGACTGAAAATGTCCTCTCTGGTGACATCGCTAGCTACAGTTAATCTAGCTAGTGTATCCTTAAAAGAAAGAAAAAGAATTTAGAGCAACATAAATGTAATTGATCTGATGGCAATATTTGAAGTATGGTAGATAGGAAAGCAGAGTCAAGAAGAAGGATATATATATTGATTTAGTGCTGCTTTTGGTTTTCATAATACTCAACAAAACGTATGTACAAGGTCTGAAATAAGCTTCCCCCAGGAGTTCCTGTATTTTATTTCATGTTTTTTTGAACTTATTTGCCTAGTTAGCTGTGTAAATTATTAAGAGGATTGAGGTCAACCCTGTATTCCATGTTGTTAGAGTATTGAGGTAAACCCTGTATTCCCTTGTTGTTAGGGAATTGAGGTAAACCCTGTGTCCCCATGTTGTTGAGAGTATTGAGGTAAACCCTATATTCCCATGTTGTTAGAATATTAAGGTAAACCCTGTATTCCCTTGTTGTTAGGGTATTGAGGTAAACCCTGTATTCCCTTGTTGTTAGGGTATTGAGGTAAACCCTGTATTCCCATATTGTTAGAGTATTGAGGTTAACTCTGTGTCCCCATGTTGTTAGGGTATTGAGGTAAACCCTGTATTCCCATATTGTTAGAGTATTGAGGTTAACTCTGTGTCCCCATGTTGTTAGGGTATTGAGGTAAACCCTGTATTCCCTTGTTGTTGAGAGTATTGAGGTAAACCCTGTATTCCCTTGTTGTTAGGGTATTGAGGTAAGCCCTGTATTACCATGTTGTTAGAGTATTGAGGTAAACCCTGTAGCATTTTGTTAGAGTATTGAGGTAAACCCTGTATTCCCATGTTGTTACAGTATTGAGGTAAACCATGTATTCCCTTGTTGTTAGAGTATTGAGGTAAATCCTGTATTCCCTTGTTGTTAGAGTATTGAGGTAAACCTTGTATTCCCATGTTGTTAGAGTATTAAGGTAAACCCTGTATTCCCTTGTTGTTAGGGTATTGAGGTAAACCCTGTATTCCCTTGTTGTTGAGAGTATTGAGGTAAGCCCTGTATTCCCTTGTTGTTAGAGTATTGAGGTAAATCCTGTATTCCCTTGTTGTTAGAGTATTGAGGTAAACCCTGTATTCCCATATTGTTAAAGTATTGAGGTAAACCCTGTATTCCCATATTGTTAGAGTATTGAGGTTAACCCTGTGTCCCCATGTTGTTAGGGTATTGAGGTAAACCCTGTATTCCCATATTGTTAGAGTATTGAGGTAAACCCTGTATTCTCATATTGTTAGAGTATTGAGGTTAACCCTGTGTCCCCATGTTGTTAGGGTATTGAGGTAAACCCTGTATTCCCTTGTTGTTAGGGTATTGAGGTAAACCCTGTATTCCCATATTGTTAAAGTATTGAGGTAAACCCTGTATTCCCATATTGTTAGAGTATTGAGGTAAACCCTGTATTCCCATATTGTTAAAGTATTGAGGTAAACCCTGTATTCCCATATTGTTAGAGCATTGAGGTAAACTCTGTATTTCCATGTTGTTGAGAGTATTGAGGTAATCCCTATATTCCCATGTTGTTAGAATATTAAGGTAAACCCTGTATTCCCTTGTTGTTAGGGTATTGAGGTAAACCCTGTATTCCCATATTGTTAGAGTATTGAGGTTAACTCTGTGTCCCCATGTTGTTAGGGTATTGAGGTAAACCCTGTATTCCCATATTGTTAGAGTATTGAGGTAAACTCTGTATTTCCATGTTGTTGACTCTGTGTCCCCATGTTGTTAGGGTATTGGTTGTTAGAGTATTGAGGTAAACCCTGTATTCCCTTGTTAGAGTATTGAGGTAAATCCTGTATTCCCTTGTTGTTAGAGTATTGAGG